CCGAGAGAGCTATGGCGCACGTGGGAAGTAGGGAGGTGCTCATTGTCGGTGGTGTAGGATGCAATGCCAGGTTGCAAGAGATGATGGGCATCATGGCTTCCGAGCGAGGCGGCAGCGTCTTTGCAACGGATGAGCGGTGAGTGAGCGAGCGGACAGACCAGATAGATGTTCGAAAGACTTTGCTTGGCCATCCGGGAGCCAGCACTCGCTAGTCAGCCCGCTTATGCTCTTTCATCCTCTGCACCTCACCCTAAAGCTTCTGCATCGACAACGGAATCATGATTGCTCATGCCGGTCTGCTCGCTCATCGAATGGGCATCAGCACCAGCTTGGAAAGGAGCACCATCACTCAACGGTTCAGAACTGATGCGCCTCTCATCTCGGTCAGTGTCTATCTAGCGAAAATCGTGCCACGTTTGAAGCTGACCCTTGCTAGGCTTCCATCCTTGCAGTGGCGCAAATGAGCGCCCACTTTGGTCGATAGCTTCTCCATCATTTCACAAGCACCCACGAACCCTTGCAAGTTCTCGTCTTGCGAATGCGCGTAGAGAGGTGATGCAAGATTGAATTGCGATCGATCCACAAATACGTGCTTGTGACGTCCTATCTTCCACACTGTCCCTACCTCACTGCCCGATGACTTGCTTCGCTTCTTCTTGATGCCTCCACTCGACTCGGTCAGGGTTCGGGGTGGACCAGCCTACTCGGTGATTTTGGCAAGGATTTCTGATTCGCGGATCAGCAGGTACTCCTGCGAGAAAGGAGTCGCAAATGTAGATCGATGTGTCAGCAACGAGAAATGCCCGCCAAGGTTGGTGCGCACGAGCGAGGTGCTGCTGAAGGCCTCTCGAGGCCCAAAGATATGAGATGGAGAGTCTAGGAGCGCCAGGTAGGCAAATGAGAGCGCCCTTGCGAGCATCGAGTGATAGATCCCGGTCTGGGCGAGTGAAGGGGCAGAGGAGCTTGTCCTATGCACGACGGCCAGCTCAATGACATTTTCCGCGCTACGCTTTCGGGCTGGCTAAGGTGCGCATCCCACATTCTTGGTACCAGCGCTGCCACGATCCCCTTTGCCGCTCTCAGAATCCCCGTTGCGGCGCAGTGTGCGTGCTGATCCCTCCATTGCATCTCGCAAAGCCCCGACCACATCGCACTCACATCTTCTCCAACCTTGATAGTGTTTCCACCCCATCCAGGAATCAGCACCTTGTCGCCGCTCTTGACGCTGGTTGGAATCAGCTTACCATCCCTGTCCGGCGCGCCAGGTCCAGCAGCGATCACGCTAGCTTCTGGCAACGGAGAACTGGCAGAGCTGGAAGGAAGGAACAATCCGGATGCCGTCTTTGTCTCGGGCTTGAAACGCTGCAC